ATGGCCAAAAATATTATTAATTTCCAGAGGATGATTTTGGACGTCCATAATATTAAAATACCAGAAGTATGGTCGAGTACCACGGGGGAAGGATTTCCGTCGTTCCTTGTAGATTTGAAGTACGATTACGGATTCCGTTCCTTAAAAATGCTTCACAGAACCTTCCTACAGCTCCTGCTCTTCGCCACAATGGGCCTAGGATCACTCCTGAGTCCTATTGAGCAAGGCATAGTTTTGGCTCTCCTACGAAACGGATGGAGCATCCGAGCGATAGCTGTTGAGATTTCTCAAGCAACGAAGGCCATTCGCACCCTTCTGAAGGATCCTGAGCAATATGAAGGAAGATTCAAGGGAAGAAAGGCGAGCATTCTCATCGGACGAGAATACCGCTTGCTCGTTCGAGAGGCATCCAAGACAGGCTTGTCAGCTCGAACACTCAAAACGAGCTTGAACTTGGATGCCTCTCTTCGTACATACCAACGGCGTCTCCTCCATGTCCCCCACCTCAGCTACGTTAGGCGCAAACCTATGCCAGCCCTTACCTCCCGCCACAAGGAGGCTCGTGTTGACTATGCCAAGAAACACCTTGCTTCACCGCCAGCCTGGGGTCGCATTATTTGGCCCGACAAAAAGAGGTTCAATCTCGATGGCCCAGACGACCTTCAACACTATTGGCATGACTTGCGTATGGAACCTGACACCATTTTTACTCGTCGGAATGGTGGGGGTGGTGTGATGGTTTGGGGAGCGTTTTCATTTGTTGGTGTGTCTGAATTGGCATTTCTTTCTGGCAATCAAAACTCGTCTGCATATGTTGAAACGTTGAGCAACTATTTACCTATAGTTGGCACCTGGCGCAACTTTCACGCAATACTGTCAAATTCGATGTGTACAAATTTTTGCGAACTGTGTTGGCATCGTGGCTGTCCGCGGTTGTCCGTGGTGGTTGTCCGTGGTGTTGGCCGTGGTGTTGACTGTGGTGTTGACCGTGGTGGCTACGGCCGTGGTGTTGGCCGTGGTGGCTGTCCGAGCTGTCGGCCGTGGTGCCGTGGTGGTTGTCCGTGGTGTTGGCCGTGGTGGTTGTACGTGGTGTCGGCCATTATGGTTGTCCGTGGTGTTGGCCGCGGTTGTTGGCAGTGGTGGTGACAGGTGGAAGACGGTGACAATTACAATTATCTCTTCTTCGCATTAATTGAACAATACAGTGTTACGTAGCTGATGTCGTCCATTCGTTTGAGCCTCCAACTTTCGTTGTCCATGTGTCCATAGACGGATTCACACAACGAGGAGAATGCTGCGCGATACAGATTGTCGCGTCGAACGTTGTCCAAGCTAGAAATGCTTTGCGATGCTTTATCGATACGTGTGCGAGGTAGCTAGTGCAAAAGTCCACAGGAACCGGCAACACGATCTCGCTCTCCTGCACGATGCCTGGATGGTTGTGTTCTAACCATCTCCTGAAATGAGCAATCATGGTATTGTATTGATTTCGAGTTCCTTCTGCAACTCGTGCACGAAGGACTCGGGTGCCGGTATCATAGTCCGTCTGGCCTCCTCTCGATGGGCGCTTCGGCGCCATTGCCTTGAACTAATAGCAATGAAATGAAACCAAAATCTAAATCCGGATAATCGATTTCGTGCAAGTTGCGCTACTCACAACTATCTAACGGATAGTTTTTTATACTTCAATCCTGTATTGTGCGAGTTTGGATAGATTCGT